ACGGACACAATAAACTGTTTTTTTGGAAATTTTGTAAATTTTGATAATTTTGAAAATGTTTCATGATCGATAAAAATTATTTTATAAAGGAGCAACATGTCATAGCGCTACAATTCATTATTCTATTTAGCACTGATGATTGGTATTGTTTTTATACATATCATGAAACGGATCGTTTGCCCGCCAATTTGATTTGTTTCAATTGTTCGAATTATAATGCTCCTGCTTAACTGCAGTCGAGCACTCTCTTTGGGAAACCAAACAACAACTATTTATTACATAATATATATATATATATATTCAGGGATAGACGCTTTGCCAGTCAATTGTAGCCTGTATTTAAGTGTCCATAGATTCAAAAGTATAAAAGATACAGCCATTTCCGACCACAGGTCTTGCAAATCATTGTTTATACTTTAGTTTATATTGTGTAAAAAAATTATTTGACGTCATAAACACCCCTTGATGACGTCATCAAGTTAACCGTTTTTAAAACTTGATTTTTGACAAAGTATTAACTTTTAAAATTAATTTTAAACCATTAAGGAGTAATTTTATTCAAAATCTGAGGAAATTTTTATCTTAGATAATTGTTTAAGCATTCTGAAAATCTACCGGAAAGTTTTTCTAGCTTGCTCCTTCATAAAGATATTCGTCATTGAAGTTTGTGCTTTTTTGAAAAATTATTTTATAAAAACGTCAATTTTGCGATTTAGTATTCTCTGGTGTTGGGCCATGCCTTGGGTTGTGGAGCTCAGTTCTGCTTCCTATAGGTATAAATTGTGTATTAGGCTAGTTTTAAAGTTGAAAATCGAAAAGTTGCACACGTGGGGACACGCCCAAATTGATAGAAAATCGCTAAAATCACTGAAAATTGCTGTTTTCGTCATTTTCTGTCAACTTTAGAGTGCCGTTGTGATTACAGTTCTTCTTGAAATACTTTTAAACTTTGCATGCTTATCAAGCTATATATAAAACAATTACATGCAAAAATTTACGGCGATTCAATATTGGATGCGCACGCAACGTCCGCTCAAAGTTTGCACGTGCGAAAGGTGAGAATTTTGCTCATTCGTGATTTCCAACAAATTCTGCTTTGCCACGACAGTTTAATGTCATTATATATGAATTTAATGCCAACTTGAATGAGCATTAAGTGGCATATTCAGTCAGTGATCGACCGATATGCTTCCCTAAACACAAGGAAATGTTTTTAAAGGAAAAATTTCGAAATCGTTGAAACTTCCTCCTTATTAATGAAGATATCAGTTTATATTTCGACTTTATAAAGTACCCTGACATTATAATCAAAAAGAGATGATATTTTACCAAAACCCATAATCATGGGTAGAGTGGACCGCTGTCAGTGTCTCTCTTTCCCAAACAAAAGGAAATGATATTAATTTGATTGACCGTTCTCAAATGCAAAATGATACCGAGAATGAAATCGGTCGCTCGCTTTTCCCATTCATTCACAATTGTAATAGATTAAGAAGAACTATCCAAAGGCAGCTGTACTCGGCAATGAAGATTCAATAAACTTCAGCTTGTTCAATTAGTAATAACTACCACCCTTGGCCCTTACCCCGAAATACTAGGTATCCACCCGAACGCAACCCAAAGAGATTTTTACAGCATCTGATTGATGTAATCAATCGAAACTTAATTATACAATTCGTAAGCCGTGAATGAATGGGAAAAGCGAGCGACCGATTTCATTCTCGGTATCATTTTGCATTTGAGAACGGTCAATCAAATTAATATCATTTCCTTTTGTTTGGGAAAGAGAGACACTGACAGCGGTCCACTCTACCCATGATTATGGGTTTTGGTAAATTAATTATAATTTAAGTGAGAATGCAAATGATATAACTATAAGCTTGCGCGGCTCGTCGAAGTCACCCAACTATTACACTCGATTTATCAAATATTCGGCTGAGTGGAACAAAATATTAAATATCACTTAATCAAGGGGTCGTTTACATATTATAATTATATAAAGGGCCTGATGCCGCCGGCCGGGGTTTTCCAAATTATTACGCTCGCTAGTGTGATTGTGACATAATACTAATAGCTTAATAGCTATGTATGGAACTGATTACTAACAATGAGGGGTCGTTCACATACCCCGTAATCAGTTTCACCATAGCTATTATATTTATGTCAATATTACACAAGCGTAATCAATAATCATTTGAAAACCCCAACCTCCTCAGCTGATTACGTAATACTAATAAGTAAACGACCGTCGACCCTTAACATTTCGGGATCGGAAGAAAGCGGCACGTACTATTTCGACGAAATTTATACAAGTTACTAACATCGTTGATTCATGATGCGGGATGCCAATCTTTCACAGCTCAGTGGTGCATTTCGCCGAAAAGCATTATTGGATACCGAGAAGCATTTTTGGATGCTCGGCGCGACACACTCACAGTAATGCATCGCGTTGATTCACGATGTCAATCCTTCACTGTTCATGTTCACAGCTCGGCGAGGCCCAGTCATGGTGCATATCGCCAATTTAGTAACATAGTTGGTCAGTTCGTACAAAAGTCGTAAAAAATTCGTACAGTTCGGCACGTTTTTTCAGTTCGGGTGTCGGGATTAGTTTGGGAAAAATTCGCTCATAAATTTTCGAAATATATAATAAAAAGCTAATTGCAAAAATTTGTGTTAAAATGGCGGGAAACGATGACGTGCGGATGCATGTTAATATTTTAAATCTGAAATGTAACCTCCCGGACAAAAATAACAAATTTTTCGGACTGAAGTGATTACTGATTAAAAAACAAAAATTTTTTTAAAAATTCGGTAAAAATTCCTCGACAGCTTTTTAAAATTTGTACAGTTCGACACCTTTTAAAAGTTCGTACATACAGTAACGTACTGACCAAGTATGTTTAGTAAAGCACTAGTGGTTGCAAGAAGCATTATATTATTGGCTGCGCGGCGCGGCCCAGTAGTGCATCGCGCTACAACAAACATCGTCAAATAGATTACTCGAAGCTCAAAGCTGTAAAGTATTTATCCAAAATAATTCCGATCCCGAGGATTGTTACTGGGCCGCGCTCAGCCTGTCATTCCGCCAAATCTTTATTCGCCAAATCTTAATGTTTATGAACATGTACATAATAGCCTGGGTCCCCAGGTAAGAGGATTGACATAACTTATAAATTTATAATATATTAATTCTAAATACTGAATGCATCGCATTTTATTATTTTAAGGGTTTTGGTATTTTCGTAGCTAAATTGTACTAAAGCTTTCGCGCTTGCACTTCACAGTTCACACTTGCGCGTAGTTCGTAAACTGAAAACTCGTGGGTACGATATATGTGATTACTGAACAATAAATTCGGCTCGACTCTCATTACATTCTTTTAATAACTTGCTGTGCGAGATTTCAATACTATTAATTTGTAAATGCTAATTTAACATTTAGATCTTTACATCATCTTCTTTCACATAGCCATGTGTCTAAGCGTACTACTAGCGAGAGGGCTATGGTTAGAGCATAAACAGGTTATACTGGACGAATATTATTCGTTAACGGGTGATACTCGTAATTTACTATCACGCGCCGCTTTTCTCAAAATATTAGTCTAAGCCTATACCAGCCGGCAAAGTTTTTATATGTGACCTACATAAAACGTTAAAATTTAGTTGAGTTTTGAACGTTGCTTATAGTTGATAAGGTAACATTGATCTAACGTAAAATAATAAACGTTTTGCAACGTTAAAAATAAAACCTATAACCAACGTTAGATATTTAACGTTTAACAACGTTTTATATGTAACCTACATACAACTTTAAAATGTAGTTGAATTTTAAACCCTGCTTATAGTTAATAAGGTAACCTTGATCTGACGTCAAATAATAAACGTTTTGCAACGTTAAAAATAAAACCTATAACCAACGTTAGATATTTAACGTTTAACAACGTTTTATATGTAACCTACATACAACTTTAAAATGTAGTTGAATTTTAAACTCTGCTTATAGTTAATAAGGTAACCTTGATCTGACGTCAAATAATAAACGTTTTGCAACGTTAAAAATAAAACTTATAACCAACGTTAGATATTTAACGTTTAACAACTATAGCCATAGCTATAGCTGTCGCCGCGATATCTAGCGCTAGATAGCGCTATCTAGCGCTATCTAGCGTTAACTGTCACAAACCGATATTCTCCGCTAGATAGCGCTATCTAGCGCTAACAAGCGTTATCTAGCGGAGAATGTCGGTTTGTGACAGTTTACGCTAGATAGCGCTATCTAGCGCTAGCTGTCGCCGCGATATCTAGCGCTAGATAGCGCTATCTAGCGCTATCTAGCGTAAACTGTCACAAACCGACATTCTCCGCTAGATAGCGCCAGATAGCGCTAGATAGCGCTAGATAGCGCTGCGTCAGATGTCGTTGCGACATATAGCGTTAGATAGCGCTAGATACCGCTAGATGTCGCAAAAAAAAGGGCGGAAATTTTATGAAAATAGCGCTATCTGTCGCCTGGCGTCAGTGCTGCGTGCTTAGCGTCATCTAGCGTCATCTAGCGTCATCTAGCGTCATCTAGCGTCATATAGCGTCATATAGCGTCATATAGCGCTAGATAGCGCTAGATAGCGCTAGATAGCGCTAGATAGCGACATTCGAAAGGTGCCGTGCACTTAGCGACAATGTCGCTAATTGGCGTCATCTAGCGTCATCTAGCGTCATCTAGCGTCATCTAGCGTCATCTATCATCATCTGGCGATATTTCACGCTAGATGACGCTAGATGACGCTAGATGACGTCATATGTCGAATTTCAACTATCAGTAAAGGTCCAAAAAGATACCAAATATAAAGGTAATCAATCAGTTCGGCACTTCCGAAAACGTTCCATCGGCCATTCTTCCACTATCCTTTGAGTTGTCACATGTTGGCAGCAACAATTCATTTTGGGGGCCAAATATTGGCAGCCACAATTCATTTTGGCAGCCAAATATTGGCAGCAACAATTCATTTTGGCAGCCAAATATTGGCAGCCACAATTCCTTTTGGCAGCCAAAGGATCGTCCATTTCTCGATCCAACGAGTGTTAAGTTTTCCCTGGAGCAACTCTGCAACCGTCACGTTGTGTCTCCCCCGCGCCCGCTCGCGTATTGGTCGAACTAGTTGAATAGAAGGAATAATATTAATATTAGACTTTTCAAAACTGTAGATAACGATTTGTATTTAACCTTTTATTTCCTAACATATAACTAGCAACGTTTAAAACTCTTTGCAAGTATAAATTGACGAGTTTGTCAGCTAATGTTTCTACATTCTAAGTATATGTCATGCCGACTGTGGACTGGTATCCCTACACATTTTCATCACAATTCAAACACAAGGAAATATTTTGTATCCAAGTTTACCCCGAACATTGGAAATTGTTCCTCTTCGCTCTCGGTAACCACAACATCCACAACATCCACTACCACTAACTGAACATCTCTACGAATTTTAGCTGCACTTTCAACTCTACAGGGCCCTATCGTCATTATGGCACTGAAATATTACGAGTTATCGAAATTATTAACAGTTTACATTGAAATACTACTATTTTTATCATCGCCAGAATAAATCCAGATATTTGAAAGCTAACTGTACTTTACTCAGACACCTTACCCAAAAGCTTAAGTTAACTATTAAACCTAATGTAAAACTAATGAGAACCTAATGAAAACCTAATGTAAACTGTACACTATGATCTACTTTTAGATATCTTACCCAAAAAGTATGGTACATAATACAAACTAACCATTGATATTCTCAGATTATGTGACTGATTAAATGCTGAAGATAAAAGAAATATATTCATTTTGCTAAGATTATGTTTGCGTTTCATTGCTCAACAGCTGTTCGAAGGATCAAATTTAAGAGTACATAATACATCATACATTATTCCGGGATTTAACCTCAAAACTAAATTAATTGTAACGGCCTGTCCAAACATTTTGTTTTTCATGTTAAAGTAACTGTAGGCAAGTATTGTACCCAAAAACTATAAAATTCGTAATAAAAATCTATAAATTGTTTATAAAATTAAACATAAACTTTAAAAAATATAACTCACTACTCACTCATAACTCGCTTACCCCAAAAGTAACGAAGATAGAATCCTGACAAGCATCGTCATGATTTCAAGCCCAACTTCTAATCGTTCGAATTGCACAGCGGGGCAACTAGCTTATCCGAGTAGACCAACACGCTGTTTGAGAAAAGGAAACACAGTTTTTATACTGAGTGGGGCTTTGTCTTAAAATAAGTATGTGCTACGTTTCTAATTCTTTTGTAAGCTGACAAAGATATTATCTCCATGTTATTGCTTGGAAAGCTTTGCGTCAGTAAATCCGGCGTTTTTATTGGATCTGGTGAAAGAGAAAGACAAGGGATTAGAATCCTGCTCGAGAGCTTTTGTGTGATTCGTTTGCTCAAAAATTAAGTTTTTGCGATAGATTACTATCTAAATGGCTGCTGATAGGTCAACACGTTATTTTGTAGGAGCGCATCCTTTTTAGAGGTGCAATCTTATTTTTCATTCGACCAAATATTTGTTGCAATACCTCTCTTTGTATTAATATTTCTTATCTGTCCTATAAGAGCAAATGCTGATATATCATGATTGCATCGAGATATTAAATTGATATTTTTTATTGCATCGACGAAACGAATGGAAAAATATAATTAGTCTTAATGTAACAAGTAATACGTATATAATAATCAAGAAGAATGTTTAACCTTAATTACATCAGATAATTACACAAAATACAATCTTTATTCGTAAAACATCATTTGTTGAACGCTTAAATAAAATATTAATGTTATATGTCAACATGCAGTTAAGAAAAGTGCAAACCATTACATTTATGTTGGAAGAGATTCGAGACATGACAACGATTTACTTTTGAATTTAGTATTTCAAAGTAAATCATCCGCTAAATGCTTATATAAATACAATCGATTTATTTATTTCATTTACGCGTACGGCTCAGTGCATATGAGGCATAATGATAAAACTGTAAATTGATTCTTCAGAAGACCAAAACACAAAAATAGCAAATATTCACTTTTGATAAGATAATCATTCTGAGTTATTTTATTTTTAATTTAAGACGGATTCTGGCACTATTAAGTATTATAACATTTTGATAAAGCATCAGTCACAATCACATTAATAACATGATATTAATGTTAATTGTGATCAACTAAACAGATAATTCATTATTAATTGATGGAAATAAATCATATTAGCCACTTAAATAGTTATTATGTTATTAATGTCATATCGCCCTGCACTAAGATTCTCAATAACATGAACAAAATGGTTTAATGAAGATTGCAATTCTTTCAACACAAGAGTTAAAGTTACTGTATGTTAATTTAAACAAAGAAACATAACACAAACAAGGAAGAAAGATTTAAACTTGAATCACTGATCAAACTGATCGTCGGATGAAATTGGCGTCTTTCACGAGATCAAAGGAGAATATTCGTTTTTGAGATCGACGAAGATAAAATAACACGAAAGTTATTTCTCTGACACCAATTCCATCTGAAAGACCTTTAGTAGTGTGTATCACTAAGCATTAATCAGTCACTGAATAGTTCTGAACTCTGAGTACAGCTCCGTCCACGCTTTACCACGTGATCACGAGGTTACCATGACACCACGTGGTTACCATGACTACCACGTGGTTACCATTACTACGTATCACGTGACTCTTGGCAGCTTCTAGCTCAGTGTTAGTTCCACGCGGAGTTCAAACTCAGTTTATACTCGTGTTGTGAGCTTAGTGTTTCACTTATCAGCGCGCTTAGTTCTCGGGTCTATTCTGATTCTCAGAACTGAAAAAAGGTATGGAGATGAGCAAATGAGAGTTCAGAGTAAATGAGATTAACCATATCTGTGAGAGATAAGAGTCCTGAAAGATATATTTGTGTCTGATCTTTTCCTTAATAATTAACTGGGAAAAATATTAATTAAGGTAATTGATTGAATTTAAAATGTTGTGGACAGAATCTTTGTCCACTTTGATGATTGATTCAAGGCTTGGCCATTTTAGGATCGGCGTCATAAAAATTCGATTAATGTTTTATGCTCATCATAGATTTGTAATTATACAGATCATGCGCTGGTAATATGGTAATTTTGGTAATTATGGATAATATTTTATTACTTATACTGTATACACACAGCTATATCATATCTCAGCTAACTCGATAAATAACCTTGCAGCTCAAAAGCCTTATTGTTATCCATTAATTAAATGAATAAGCAGAACTTTAATGATTATTTAATTGATTAGAGCAAGCTTTTTAAATGAAATTCAGCTGGTAATTAGATTAGTTAATCAATTAATTAGTTATCATTATCATCACAGAATAGCATCCAACTCCCGACCAAAAAATTTCCTAAATTTCATTTTTGAAATCATAACAGTAAGACTAAGAAGTAAAAATATGATTCCATAAATCTAAATTTAGCTTCTGTTATTGAATTTAACATCTAGAATATCTAGGCCATTCTATTTCGAGAAAGTTATGGAACTAAACTGATACAGTACAAATTTTAAATGCTTTTTTAAGTCGTTCTGTTTAGAAATTTCACCTCAGCAGCACAGCAGACTATCAGCTCAAATCATTTGCATTTGCCAGGGCTTACGTTCAGGTTACTGAGGACGTCAATCTGGGAGTAGTTCTCGTTGTATGCTCTGCGGAGAGTGAAAGTGAAATAATGCCTGTTTAACGAAAGAGAAAGTAAAAATGACCTGTATTTATCGAAAGAGAAAGTAAAAATAACCTGCGTTTATCAAAAGAGAAAGTAAAAATAACCTGCGCTTATAAAAGATAAAGTAAAACTAACCTGCTTAGCGCTTATCGAAAGAAAGAAAGTAAACATAACTTACGTTTATCGAAATAGAAAGTAAAAATAACCTTTGTTCATCGAAAGAGAAACCGAAACTAACCTGCGCTTATCGAAAGTAGACCCAGTACCGAGTACTCTCTCCATATCCTCGACCTCCTTGTGGTGCATTCTATGAAACTCTATTCGGTGAAGCTGTCTCTCCACTTCATTTCTCGACATTCCTGAGGGTGAATTACTTGTACTCGAGGGTGAATGTGAAAGTGAAAGTGAAACTGTCCACCCACCCTATTTTCAACACAACTGTATAGAGTTGTCACAAGACGTACCTTTAAGAACACGTGCTGTCGCGCATAATACTTTAAATCAACCCAGTTCTTTAACTACAAATTCTTTAAAAGTTAAAAACCTTATAAGTATAACTTTAATCCAATAGCAACCCCTACGGTTCCTTTCACCTTACAATTTATTTTAATAAGTCTGGAAACAACACTTTCGGTGATACGCAGTGGAGTATCCGTGTCAGTCAATGTTTATTATTCAGTCTACTATAAGGTTATCACTGTCGAGAGAGATTAACTACAGCGATTGTTCATTCAGAGTTCATGTGTCATAATATGTTAAGTAAATTGTAAACTCGACTGCAGTGCCAACAGATTTATAGTGCGCTGAATTAAACAAATGCAGAAGTAATATATCGCAACTAGAATAACAACTAAGATAATGATGATGCAATTAAGTTAATACGGAGTTATACGAACAGTTACCCTCGTACCGTTTTTATTGACCAGGACCAGGACCAGGACCAGGACCAGGACCAGGACCAGGACCAGGACCAGGACCAGGACCAGGACCAGGACCAGGACCAGGACCAGGACCAGGACCAGGACCAGGACCAGGACCAGGACCAGGACCAGGACCAGGACCAGGACCAGGACCAGGACCAGGACCAGGACCAGGACCAGGACCAGGACCAGGACCAGGACCAGGACCAGGACCAGGACCAGGACCAGGACCAGGACCAGGACCAGGACCAGGACCAGGACCAGGACCAGGACCAGGACCAGGACCAGGACCAGGACCAGGACCAGGACCAGGACCAGGACCAGGACCAGGACCAGGACCAGGACCAGGACCAGGACCAGGACCAGGACCAGGACCAGGACCAGGACCAGGACCAGGACCAGGACCAGGACCAGGACCAGGACCAGGACCAGGACCAGGACCAGGACCAGGACCAGGACCAGGACCAGGACCAGGACCAGGACCAGGACCAGGACCTAATTAATCAATTATAATCCAGGACTAATTAATCAATTATAATCCAACTCACCCTCTTCGTAAGCGTGGTCAGCGACTGTCCTTTTGTGAATTTTCCTCCTACGAGGAGCTTTAGATGCTATTAGTTTCTTCGCTCCAGAGGGTGTCTCTGATGAAATAAGTTACTTAACTTTTTGCAGCTTCTTTAAACACAAGGAAATGTTCTGCAAGGATAGTAGAGAAATCCGTATATTATTATTACATCATGTAGTCTACAAGAGTGTTTCGTGTTGTTTAAAATGTTATGCAGGCGGTAAATGTTCGCCACTTTTCAGCTCCAGCCAGAAGCTCCACTACATCCAACGTTAAAAATATCGGAGTAAATTATGGCTGCAGCCTTGATCACAGTGAAGTAATACTAATATGTAAGACTAAAGGTCTAACACCCGTATGTACTAGTATAGGCTATATTGGTAAATGGCTTGTGGTCAATACTCGAGGTTTTAAAGTTTGATAAGAGATATGAGATGAATGTAACGTCAGTTAGTGTGGTATATCGTTTCCAAATTTTTGAATTCGGGAAAACAAATGTGGAATTTTTAATAAGTGATACTGTTGTGTGATCTTTTGAATATTAACATTTTACATCAGACATGAGAAATTTCGAGTTGAAATAATATGTCCTAAAAATGGATAAAAGTGACCATCTGCTTACCGTGCGAAGTGTGGTTGATCGTTCCGGTGAACTGGAGGGCCAGGGGGTCATAAAACGGATCTGCAAGAAACAGCTTTAGAATAAACAACTTTTATCATCGGTGATCAGGAAAGATTGGACCGAACGATTTAATAAATAAAAGACAAAATCTGATTTTATATTATACGAGAAATGGTGTTTGCAATCGTAACATCTTCAATAACTTAAATAAATTGTATAATGTATATCTTGAATAACTTGAATAACTTGAATAACTTGAATAACTTGAATAACTTGAATAACTTGAATAACTTGAATAACTTGAATAACTTGAATAACTTGAATAACTTGAATAACTTGAATAACTTGAATAACTTGAATAACTTGAATAACTTGAATAACTTGAATAACTTGAATAACTTGAATAACTTGAATAACTTGAATAACTTGAATAACTTGAATAACTTGAATAACTTGAATAACTTGAATAACTTGAATAACTTGAATAACTTGAATAACTTGAATAACTTGAATAACTTGAATAACTTGAATAACTTGAATAACTTGAATAACTTGAATAACTTGAATAACTTGAATAACTTGAATAACTTGAATAACTTGAATAACTTGAATAACTTGAATAACTTGAATAACTTGAATAACTTGAATAACTTGAATAACTTGAATAACTTGAATAACTTGAATAACTTGAATAACTTGAATAACTTGAATAACTTGAATAACTTGAATAACTTGAATAACTTGAATAACTTGAATAACTTGAATAACTTGAATAACTTGAATAACTTGAATAACTTGAATAACTTGAATAACTTGAATAACTTGAATAACTTGAATAACTTGAATAACTTGAATAACTTGAATAACTTGAATAACTTGAATAACTTGAATGACTTACTAGGTGGAACTATGACTCTCATAAAAGTTTGGGCTGCCATTTTCTGAAATAAAAGTAGAGTCGTTAGGAATATAGGTGAAGAAAGAAGTAGAACGTTGTAAATATGGGATTAGGCAACTATCGAAAGGGAACGGTAAAAACTTTGAACATTTGCTACAAAACCTTATCATCGTTTGATTTGATTTGAAACTTTTACCAAAATTATGTTGTTCACAATACAATAAAATCGGGTCACCAACAATCTCTATCGATATTTAATTTGTCCAATCGAAACAATGAACATTTCATGAAGGCAGCTCGTGGCCTGTGCCTTACATGAGTTATAACTTTCATCAAAATATTATGTCTTTTAGTTTTATCATTGCGACTGTTTAGTTTTATTGGAATGGTGCCAACTGAAAGCAAATGATCTGATCACTAGTTGATTACTTATTCACCATCCGGTGGTTATAGAAAATATGTATAGACTCGACGATGATTCGTCTGATTTTTTTGAAATATACAGTTTCGAGGGCACTACTCGAAAAATAACTATGGTGCATCGTATATAAAAGCTTAAAGAGTTAAAGCTACGGTCTTATAATGTTTTGTGCATAAAGGGATACCGATAATGTTTAATTCTGTTCGTGTTTATAAATAATTGGAAAAAGTTTGGCACGTTTTCAATGTGTCACACTTGCAAAGCAGATGGCATACAAATGGCAGCTTCAATATGTATGATATAATAATACCCCTATTTACCGCGGAGTTTGGGAGAAAGGAAAAAGCCGCGGTAAATTGGGGTTCGCGGTAAATCGGGGTTTTGATTGTTTTCCCTGTGTATATTAAGTCCAATTTGGGGAAACTGAAAGAAAATGGCTGCGGTAAATCGGGGCTTGTGGCCAATCTGGGCGCGGTAAATCGGGGTTTTACTGTACCTATAAAAATTACTGTAACACTGAAAAACACCGCCCAGTGACGTTAGCAACAAGTCTTACTTGGGGTCCCCAGGCTATTAATATTATGTTCATAAACATAGGAATTCAGTGGAATAACAGGCTGAGCACCGGCCAGTAACAGCAAGTCCTAACAAGGGGACCCAGCCAATAATTACTAGCCAAATAATAAGGACGGAGCGGAGAGAGCTGTAATAACTATAGTAAGTAATTAACACAAAATCCAGGACGAAGGTCCTATACATGGTGTCTCTCTCACCGACTTATAACGCTATAGACATATGACAGTGGAATATTATAATCATTGAACAGTAAAGCATTAAATATATTGTATTTGGAGCGAGTAAAGTATTAGATAATGAATGAGGAGCAGTGCACAGTGTGGTAGCTTCGTGTAAAACAGTAAAAGTGTTGAGGTAGCGTCCCAGCTTCCAGAGCCTCATAAATCATGGACGACCAAAAATATCAGGCTGTATAATACTGTGGAAATGTCTATCAGAAGAGAGTGAGGCAGAGAAGTCTAAACAGCTTGTGAGTAAGTATGATTATTTAACATTAAGTAAAGTGATGTGATTATTAAACTGTTCTACACTCTTAGTCCTTAGAGCTTGAAAAAGCACGGACGTGATCTCAAACTACGACGTGTAAAGAAACCAACAAACTCTGACAATATAGAGATGTGAGAAGACAATGAGGCAGATTAAGATAAAAGTAAACAGTAAAACTGAATAACCAGTACAGAGAGGCTCATGGAACTCAGTCAGGAGGCGCTAAATCTCAGTTTGAACATTCAGATTGGAGTTACTAATCCTCATTAGGTATTACTCATTGTCACGTGGTCATTCATTATTTCGCATCTGGCAGAGCAGAACTAATTGACTGACTCGCGTCTATTTTCTCCTCATGTCACTATAAGTATTATTGTTCTGGACTATTAGTATTATTGCTCTGGACTAGCTGAAAAACTGAAATTCTAAAATGACGATATGTAATTATAAAGAGAAGATTCTGGAGCGGATTTCAGTAAATTTCAGTAGTCACGTGACCAGACAATTATCACGTGACGAGACAATTATCACGTGACGAGAGAATTATCACGTGACGAGACAAGAGACAGCATGCTGTATTTAAGAGGGACAACAACAGGTGGTCCAAGTACAGGTGTACAACAGAGCAGCCCCCTATATGGTAAAATGAGGGCCACTATTGGTACCTCTAATTAGCGGGTCAGTGTGTCCAAGTCAGCTCTCAAATACGTCACGTGATTAGAATCTCCCTCAAATACGTCACGTGATTAGAATCTCACCCAAATACGTCACGTGATTAGAATCTCCCTCAAATACGTCACGTGATTAGAATCTCCCTCAAATACGTCACGTGATTAGAATCTCACTCAAATACGTCACGTGATTAGAATGTCACTCAAATACGTCACGTGATTAGAATATCACCCAAATACGTCACGTGATTAGAATCTCACTCAAATACGTCACGTGATTAGAATCTCACTCAAATACGTCACGTGAATAGAATGTCACTCAAATACGTCACGTGATTAGAATCTCCCTCAAATACGTCACGTGATTAAGATCTAATTCAAATACGTCACGTGGTTAGAATGTCACTCAAATACATCACGTGATTAGAATTAGCGGGTCAGTGTGTCCAAGTCAGCTCTCAAGTACGTCACGTGATTAGAATCTCCCTCAAATACGTCACGTGATTAGAATCTCACCCAAATACGTCACGTGATTAGAATCTCTCTCAAATACGTCACGTGATTAGAATCTCCCTCAAATACGTCACGTGATTAGAATCTCCCTCAAATACGTCACGTGATTAGAATCTCCCTCAAATACGTCACGTGATTAGAATCTCCCTCAAATACGTCACGTGATTAGAATCTCACCCAAATACGTCACGTGATTAGAATCTCACCCAAATACGTCACGTGATTAGAATCTCACCCAAATATGTCACGTGATTAGAATCTCACCCAAATACGTCACGTGATTAGAATCTCCCTCAAATACGTCACGTGAATAGAATCTCCCTCAAATGACCAAATGAATTAACAAATGTTGAGACTTGAGGAGATTATTCACTCCTTTAATTAAGTACAAAGGACTCTACATTAATTAGTACGGGCCTGCTTGTATTATCATGGGTCAGTCTCCTCACTTCAAAATACGGGATTGTTATTACATTACCACGAGATCAAATCAAATAAAGCTGAACAACTTGAGGATACACTGCTGTTTTTAGATCTCCAACGTGCACATGTAAATTCATAAGTACCTAAAACTCGGTAAATAACAAAGAATTTGAGCTAAGAGTAACAAATGTGTTGTTCGGTCTCAGGGCGCGTATAAAAGCTGGCATGAATATGTTTCAGTTGTTATAAAAAGGAGCTGAAACATAAAAGAAGTTCTTTCAGTTCCTTTTTATTACATTTGCCGACACATCTCTAACACACCTCTGTAGTTATAATTGCCTATTAGTCCTTAAATTTCAATTAAATACTTATAACTGAAGCGTTGTTATTGAAAACATTTATTCTGGGAATCAAAGTAATGAGTATTTAAGGAAATAGAAACTCTGACTAGTGATACTTTTGTGAAATAGAAAAAGATAAAAGAAAACATTCTTCTCGATAAGTGGAGCTATCCTAATACACAAAAAGGTAATGGATCTCTTAATAACACCCTAAGACCATCATTCCAGATACAAGGACAATGGAAACACTATTAACAGTAACATTTGGTACCATAGACCAGTATTGAACACCACGTGACTATAACATCTACGGTTCTGTTATACCTTTTAAAGTATAACTATAAATCTGATGGGTAGACGGATTATAGTTGTGTAATTAAGTAAATGTACCATGTTTTCAATCCACTTATCAACGAGCAAGGTCGACTCCCTTAAAGGGTGTATGCACTGTAAAATCGGTTCGATTTCTTGTGGGTAGGGATGTAATTGTCTCAACGTGTACATTGTACAAGCTATACTTACTGGTTTATAGTGCATACAACACAGCAATACAAGGTGTTTACTGGACTACAGTCTATACAGCACAGCAATACAAGGTGTTTACTGGACTACAGTCTATACAGCACAGCAATACAAGGTGTTTATTGGACTACAGTCTATACAGCACAGCAATACAAGGTGTTTACTGGACTACAGTCTATACAACACAGCAATACAAGGTGTTTACTGGACTACAGTCTATACAACACAGCAATACAAGGTGTTTACTCGACTACAGTCTATACAACACAGCAATACAAGGTGTTTACTGGACTACAGTCTATACAGCACAGCAATACAAGGTGTTTACTCGACTACAGTCTATACAACACAGTAATACAAGGTGTTTACTGGACTACAGTCTATACAACACAGCAATACAAGGTGTTTACTGGACTACAGTCTATACAACACAGCAATACAAGGTGTTTACTGGACTACAGTCTATACAACACAGTAATACAAGGTGTTTACTGGACTACAGTCTATACAACACAGCAATACAAGGTGTTTACTGGACTACAGTCTATACAATACAGTAATACAAGGTGTTTACTGGACTACAGTCTATACAGCAAAGCAATACAAGGTGTTTACTGGACTACAGTCTATACAGCACAGCAATACTTAAGGTGTTTTCTACAGCGATACAAGGTGTTTTCGCAGCTTATAACTATCATAGTCGTATTTCTGAAGTTGCCATCTAACAAATTCTATTTTAGGAGACTTCCCACACATATTCTAAAACATCCACCTATCTTAACAGTCGGTCACTAAATTGCTCCTTCCTTATATCTTAGAGTATTATCAAGATGTCGATGGTATACCCTTTTATAAATTGTTTGACGTCTTTGAAGATTAAGGGAAAAAAGCTGTTTTATGTCACTGAGGACTCCTGGACACCACTTTTTGAGGATCTTTCAGTTACTCCTCAAGATCTTTTCCAATATTCTCTCCTTAAGAGAAGATCTGTTTAATTCAAGTGGAACTCCTTCTTCAAATCCAGCTATTTTACTGCACTTGTTTTGTCGCGGTAAGTCATGTAAAAGAAAAAAACAGTGACTCAAAACAAC